TAAATCAAATTTCTTTTTCGCTCCGAAATTCTGATAGTCGCAAGGTGTGCAGCAACTATCAGAATTTCGGAGCATAACAAAGATCTGAAATAAACATTGGACGCAGGTCGTTAAAAAGACAAATATATTTGCATTTAGTAAACATGATGGCAGTCTGCAATGGAAGAATGTGCATCACATGTGATCCAAGAAAAAAGGGGAGGTCGTTTTTTTTTTTTGGGGGGGGGGGGGGTTACTAACCATGATTCAATAATGCTGAAAATCCTATCGTAAGGGTGGATTAATGATTTCAAGCGACTTGTCAGAAGAGAAATTTTCAATGTTAATTACTACCAAAAAAGACATCGTAGCTCCTTCGAATGTTTTTTGCATATCCTGATGTTCTTTTTTTGTTTGTTTGTAATTAAAGTTGAAAAAAAATATGTTCACGTATGCAAATGTATTCTCAAAAAGTAAAAGCCGAAAGTGAAAATTGTATTTTGGTAATTTATATACATGGTTTCAGTTAACTTCAAATTTAGATAGCCGTCTTTATCATAAGAACCATCATAATCATGCACGAACAATATCGTATGCAGTTAATTCATACATGTATAATGTATGTCCTTTCTTTATTTTCTACAAACTTACACTGTATACACACTCACACACACACACAAAAAAACAAAAACAAATTGAATAAAAGAAAGATATATCGTTCATTCATTTAAGATTTAATCGTGATAAAAAAATTGGAATAATGGACTTCAAGCTAAAAATTATGTTCCATTGACTTTCTTGATGAATCGTTTTCTCGAAAAAACTAGTAAAATCAATGACCAACAAAATTTCCAGTAAGGACAAATAATTTTTTAATTCAGCGAAATTTAAACTCTCCACATTTTAAGAATAGCTCACAAAGGAAACAGAAGAGTAAGCTATAGCTTTTTTCAGTTCAAAATTTATTCTTCTTTTACGCTGTATCGGGATTAAAACGTTCAAAATCCGATAACGTCAAGTTGACGTCATAACGTCATTGCGTAATTTTCTTACGAAAACTACTTATATTTGAAGAGCTCTCTTGGAGAAATGGTTTGAAATAATAACAAAAATTAAAATGACTTAGGAAGTGGTCACCCCAGACATGTTTCAAGAACAATTTAATTGTCCCCCGCTTGAAAAGTGGGGGATATTAATTTGGGTTTGTCCGTCCGTCCGTCCGTCTTTCTGTCTGTCTGTAACGCTTTCGTTTCCACACGCTGTATCGAGAACCCTTTGAGCTTTTGCAATGAAATTTAGCATAGCAACTCCCTATGGACTAAAGAAGACCCCTATTGATTTTGAGGTCAAAAGGTCAAAGGTCAAGGTCATAAATAAGCAAATTCTGTCTTTTAAAACATTTTCGTTTCCACACGATATCTCTAGAACCATTTGAGCTATTGCAATGAAATTTTACATAACAAATCCCTGTGGCCTAATAAAGACCCCTATTGATTTTGAGGTCAAAAGGTCAAAGTTCAAGGTCGTAAATTTATACATTCTGTCTGTGTGTAACACTATCATTTCCGGGCGATATTTCAAGAAGATTTTGAGCTTATGCAATGTAATTTTATACCAAAACTCCCTAGGACGTCTCTCGCCCCTCTCAAAGTGCCCCGCCCCGTTTGTTTTATTAGTATTTATAGTATTACATGTCGCTATTTTTAGCGCAGGGGCATGAGGAGAGTTATTGCGTATAAAACAGGTTCTCGGCGGACTTTATGTTCTTATTACATCTATTAGAACTGTTTAATAAAGGCTAAATAAATCAAACACCATGGATTGTGTAAAATTTTGAGAAAACCGAACATGAAAACATGAATATATACCTGTATGTAATATACCACATACCGTGTAAAGCGATTCCGTGGTCTAGTGGTTATGTCTCTCGCTTCAATTGTGAGAGGTCCCGGGATCGAATCTCGGTCGATCCTTTCTTTTCTTTTTTTTTTTTAAATACTTTTCTTTTTTTTTTTTTTACTAAATGATAGTATTCAGCATGTGAAATGAAAAATTTATGAGGTTATAAAATTATCATTACTGTGTGATATATATTCCATATAAAAAAATCTTCTATACACATAATAAAGAATAAGCAATCAAATCTTTATATGCATATTGACATACATGTATTTTATTTGCTTCAGTATACATGTATACATTTAATAATTCTACAAATTCAGTCAGGGGGAGCCGACTTTTTCCCTAAGCGGGGGACACGAATTCTCTGAATTAGCTTGTTAGAATTTGGGACTGGGCGGATTTTTGCTTATACCGTAATTTCTTCTTTAATTTCATTTGTATTTCAGCTAGAGAGAATGCAAAAGAGCATCCAGCAACGAATGTAGAGGAATCACCTGATTTTGGCAATCTCCCGATTGTCGTTTGGATTGGGGTGTTAGAATATTTGTCACTTAAAGACAGATACAGTGCCTCTCTGGCGTGTTCAAACATCTACAATGCATTTAATCACCCCACACTATGGCAGAAAGTAACACTTCGGGGAAATTTGGGGAGAAGCAAATTTGTCCACTGTTTTCAAATTCCCAAAAGAAACTTTCAATTCGTTCGTAGATTTGCAAGAATGTTCCATGACGTTACCTTTTCAATTTGTGAGCCATTGCATATGAGCTTTGGAGAATGGAACACTGTTTTAGAAGAACACATCAAGGATTTTAAATTGGGTCATCTAACATTGGATGTAGGTGGTTTGAGAAACAAACCAAATGTATCAGAAATGAAAACTCGTACTGAAAATATGAAGCCTCTGGTAAACTTCGTTAGAAATCAGTCGCATTTAAAGAATCTTGTCGTAAACTCATGGCCAGTATTTGCTAATTTAAAATCCTTGCAGAATCCTGATGAAAATATATTCCAAGCTGCTATTGAAAATAACAACATTAAAGATCTGAGAAAACTAGGCTTGTTTGAATGCGATTCCACGGCTTGGTCTGGGCGTAGACCACATTTAATTTCATCAGATTTGACTTTGAAATTGGTGGATCATTTCAAGAACTTGACTCATTTAGCTTTAAGATCGCCTATGATTACTTCAAATCTTATCTCAAGTCTCATGTAGGGGTAGAGAGAAGCTTCACCAATTACATGCAACAATAAATTTTATTCCTGAAGACGAATCCTTCAAATGCCTGTAGTGAATGAATCAATTTGGAAAGATTTCTCAAATTACAACTCGAACGTGAAAGTGAAAGTTTTGGTTTTGTCAAGAGTACCGCATTACAAACTAGAATGTTTCCTGAGACCTGCCTGTCCTCTCTATGGAATAAAGTTTCGAGAATATATCAGAAGTGACAAGGAATTTATCGCTTACCTGGCGGAATCTTTCAATTCGACACTGGCTACATTTGAATACAACGAAGAGGATGGAGATTTTGAAAGAGAACTAGTTATTCTTGTAGAAAACTCAGACCAACTGTGTAGGTTAAAATATTGGGGCAAAATCAACTGTCAAAATGTTATACGTCTTGCGAAATTGAGGAAAGAGAACTGGGAGTCGTTCACTTGATTAGAAAGAAATTTATAAAAAGAATGTCGACAAGAGACCGGAAATTACCAATGACAGTGACCAAGTTATAGCGAAAAATAAGGACGGAGTGTATGTCCTTGTGGATCTCGTGAAATTTCACGAACAGGTTTCTATGTTAGACCATGAAGAAGAGAAACAGATAATGATTGAAAAAGTGTCAGAATATTTGTGTCGAGATTGGTTTCCTGATAATTTTTATCAATAGTCAATATACAAAGTTTACTGTGCGAGAGTTTACTCCCTAAAGGAAATAATTACTGTCCAGTGAATTGTCCAAAGTTTTATATTATAGTCCATTATATGTAGTAAATTCAATGAAGTTTAAGTTATTTAATAAGAAAAATTGAATTAGGCAACCTTCAGAAAATTGTTTGGGTGTCCTCAAATTTTAATTTCAAATCTTTGATTATAAATGTGCCAAATGTTTTATTTTTCCCAAACGAATATTTAACAAAAGAAGAGATTTGATAAACTTGTATAATTGTTGACAATTCATTGACATGGGAATACTCTTTGAAGCCAAAAACGAAGATCAATAAGAAATTAATATGTGGACTCAAAGAAAAAACTATCGTCTTATTATTGTAAAGGAAGCAAGAGTTCCAATACCTGTATGTTTTGTTATTTTTTTCTTCAAATAATACATGTACTTGCAACCGAATGAAAGACTCTCAATGGTCACTTCCCTTACTTGTATGTTAAAATTGTACTTCCTGCAAAGGAAGTCCAAATATCGATTTTCAGGGTATTTTTTCCTTTACTTGACAATGCTGTTGCAAAGTTGCAATAAGCATAGAGAAACGAATAAAATTTTGAAGAAAAAAAGTTTACAGACCGTTTTCATCCCATATATTACTAGTATCTAGATCTCAGCCATGTGAAATATTTCTTCCAAAAAGGCATGAAAACAATCAAAGAAAAATTGTGCAATATAAGATACTAGTTGGATCCGGGCCACAATTAAAGGGTGAAGGTCAAATGGCTAAAACGTAGCACATGTAGGAAATTCATATGCCTCCCTTTCAATGATAAAAATAGAAATAGCTCACATGTTTTAGATACTTTTGGGGTATAGAATAAAAGTAGAGTGTCTAAAGTTTACAATGATATGCAGCAAGGTGCATTTCAAGCAAAAATTATGCCTAGAAATATGAATTGAAAAGAGCATTCATTTGGTTTGTTTTTGCCAAGCGAGAGCTATCCCGAGGTCATGACGTCAGAAGTTTATTAATAACCAGGGAATTCCACATTCAACACCCCTATTTCTGGATGTGAATATTGATCTGACACATTGCTCTATCATGTGGTCAAAGATATTTTGGAAATGAAGACTTTTAAAAAAGTTACAAAGAAAATAAAACACATGTTTTTACTATATAAGTCTATATGTAAGCTAATTGCGGTCCGGGTCCTTATGATGGGGTGTTTGAGGGATTCCCCTGAATTTATTTTTAAAGATATTACAATGAAATTTTGACAGGAGGTGGGTTATGCATTTTGAAATAGTTTCATGAAAATTTAAAAAAAATATTTAAGCATTTTAAAATTCATTTTTATAAAAATTTAAATTTTTTGAGTGATTGAAAAAAAAATTAAATTATGCATCCCAGAATGCAATATTTCAGGGGAATTGATATGTCGGTGAAAAAGGTCACATTAGTGCATTCATTGACCAGTCAAATAGTTCCTTTTTAAAAATAGAAAAACTGTTTTGTAATGTGTATTTGCATGTGTATTCTTAATAAGGGGTCCCTTTGAAGTCATAGATGAAAGACGAGGTGTTTATTGGAAATGACAGACAAGCTATCCATTGATTTCCCCCACCCAAAATAAGGCGCAATAAGGTGGTGATTGGGCCAATATTTACAATAACATGTGCATGGATTTATTTGCAGGAAACCGCACGTGGAAATGGGATTCAGGCTTTGCCCGACTCATAATTGCACATGCAGGCAGAGGTTGTGTATTGGAGTTTATAATTTCAGGTAAGTGGAAATTATGTTGTGTAAAAATATGTACTTTTCACTAAAGTAGAAATGGGGGTTGATGGGTTTGTCATTTCAAGGAAGATGGGGGGGGGTATAGTTTGTAGTTTTTGACAAAAATATTGATCAGTAAGTAAGTAAGTATGTATGTATGTATGGATGCATGTATGTACATGTGTGCGTATGTGTATGATGTGTCTTATGTATTTATGTGGAAGTTTGGGGGTTGTGGCCTGGTGTTAATTTTTACACGTTTCTTATACGACTTTGTATAGTAGGTATCTTTTCGAATAATTTGGTTGGCCCTGAGAAGGGCCGTTTTGTCTTCGTCTTGGCAACTCATGTCTGGTAGTAGGTGTGATCCTCTGGATTGTCTCCCTTGGACTGTAGGTAGGTGGGTTTGGGATCAAGTTGCCCTTTGTTGTAGGTGCATCTGGGTTTGGTCTTTCCTTTTCTAGCCGCCGCATGTTGTTTTATTAGCGTAGCTTTTCTCTGCATTTCTCGCCTTTTAACTGCTTTTCTCTTTCTGTATTCTCTCCGATAGGCATATTCCTGGTCAATGCTTTTTAGGTACTGATGTGTGTGGCCGGACAGTGGCAATGTAATCTCTGCTGCTTTCATGGATGTTGCTAGTCCTGGACTGTTGTTTTGTCTTAAAATCTCAGCTGAGAGGATTCCTTCAGCATTTCTTGAATAGTTGGTGTGCTTAGGTAAAACTTCGCTGACTGCTCTGTTAAGACCCTCACATTTCTGAGTTGACGTGTTGAGTTTCATTTCCTCAATGGCACTTTGGCTAAGTCGCATCTCAAGAATGACTTTTAACAAGTGCTTGTCATTTTCATTCAGGTGCAGGGATGTCAGTTTGTTCGGGGCGAGGATATAAGACTGATTCCACCAGTTGTGTCTGTCTCCACCTTCACACACCACTGAATTCCTTCGACATTTTGAACAGTCTCCTGAGTAGCAGAGGATGGTACTTTCTACGACAAGAGGAAGTTTACTACAGATGATGTTGATGTCTCCAGTGTAGGTATCCATGAGTTTCTTATAGACTAAGCTGCACCGGGCCTTTACATCTTGTGCAAAAACTTTTCTCATGTCGTCTAACCTCGTTCTTGTTTTGCAGGGAAACATCTCGGGGCTGAAGTGGGCACTGCGACACTGCCGGAACTGGGCTCTGCTGACATGGGTTGGGTCGGCCAGTCGAGTGATTTGCCAGTCTGGATGAAAAATACGCATGGCATCTTGGAATCCCTGGGCTGACCGGGCATCACCGTCTGTTGTGGCGTGCTTCACCTTGAACCCGTCCGCTGCCAGATCTTCGCCTATGGATTTAGCCATCTCGTACTCTGAAAGAGGTGAGAACATTTCAATATTAGCTGTGCAGTCTTCATGACCCCCCGGACAATGAACATCATAACCATTACCTCGAAGCCAGGTTCCAGTCCAGCAAAGTTTGTTCTGCATTGCCGTGCCAATAATATACTGTTTGTCGCTGTTGGTCTCGCATGCAATGGCGTAAGCTTGTGATGCATTGTAGCCTGGCTTTTTGCTGCTACCGAAGGTTATGGAGTTGTAGCGTCCATCTATGGCAATGTCCAGTTCCTCTGGATGTTCTTGACCTTTGACCTGGTTGATGGCCTTAACCAGTTGTCTCTTCTCACCCATGTCTTTTTTATTCAGGGCTAGAGTGGCTGTGTTGACCTGGTTGCTGGCCCTTTGCATGGAACTGCGGTTAGGAGGTGGAATGTCCAAGGCAGCTACCATTTCCCGACTGCGTCGATTCCCCATGGAGGTGTTCTGCAGGGCTAATTGAAAGTTCCAGTTGATACTGGCAGGATTAGGGCCTGGTTTGTTAAAGGAAGGAATTTCAGTGTATAATTTATAGTAATTTGTCTGAAAATTACATACCGTACACATTAGTCTCTTCTGCCATCCAAACCCCCATTTCCTCTGTCCTGAGTATTCCCACACTGGAAAATTACAGTGCTTGGCCTGGTCAAAGTGGCATTTGGCTGCATCATTAAACATTTCCAAGACCAATGTTATGTCAACAATGCGGTTTCCCTCAAACTCATAAGACGTCTCTTCATTTTTTAGCTCCTGGCATGGCTCAGGTCTGGGACGAAGGATCGGTGTCCTTGAGATGTTTTCCTGGCCTTCAGCAAGGGGATGTGCTGTCTCGGTCTCTGGGGATCCCTGGATGTTTGACGCTGAACTTGAAGCTCCTGCGGCGTTTGACGTAGCCTGATGAGCCTTAATATAATGAGTGTTCCCTTTTTTAAATCCAAAATTAAGATTTTTTCTTCTTTTATGGTCACCTTTCATTGTTTTCATGTGTAGTGAAGAGTGGATTTGAAAGCAAGATTGAATTATGACAATGTTTATTTGGACACTTTTTTAGTGGTTTTTACTGCAATATATTCCTTTGACAATCACCTGTCAAAACAGACTCCCATAGGGTATTAAGATTACCTATACAAAGACTCTTAGCCAATCAGCTGCACATGGCCCCTCTTCACAGTCAGGAAAAAGGATATGGGGGTGGGCTTAAAAATCTGTTTATTTTGAATGTTATGTACACTTTTATCAGTAATGTGATACATCATTTGATTTATGAATAAATGTACTTAAAATGTTTACCCCTATTGTCACTCTCAGATTTTCATGATAGATTTTATATTTCTTAATTTAAGAAAATTTTATGAAAATGCAGGGTACAGATCATCAAATTACCTAGAAATCTAAAAATCTTGTATTTTACATATTTAAGAGTGTGTGTGTGTTTAAGAGGTATCAACAACTTACTTGTAATAATTAGTTCCTTTTATTGTCTAACAGTTTTTACATATTTCAATTTTAAAATTTCATACTTGCCATTTTTTGCCATTTTCTTTCCTGTATTGCCTTAGTATACACAATATGTAATTGTACATGTAGATATCAACCAATTTCAATCAAACTTGGTATATTAGTTAAGTAGTATCTAAGGATTTCAAATATGGCCTTAAAATTTTTTAATGAATTTTATGCCTCCATATAGGATCCGGGCCACAATTAAAGGGTGAAGGTCAAATGGCTAAAACGTAGCACATGTAGGAAATTCATATGCCTCCCTTTCAATGATAAAAATAGAAATAGCTCACATGTTTTAGATACTTTTGGGGTATAGAATAAAAGTAGAGTGTCTAAAGTTTACAATGATATGCAGCAAGGTGCATTTCAAGCAAAAATTATGCCTAGAAATATGAATTGAAAAGAGCATTCATTTGGTTTGTTTACACTGTTTTTGCCAAGCGAGAGCTATCCCGAGGTCATGACGTCAGAAGTTTATTAATAACCAGGGAATTCCACATTCAACACCCCTATTTCTGGATGTGAATATTGATCTGACACATTGCTCTATCATGTGGTCAAAGATATTTTGGAAATGAAGATTTTTAAAAAAGTTACAAAGAAAATAAAACACATGTTTTTACTATATAAGTCTATATGTAAGCTAATTGTGGTCCGGGTCCTTAAGTTACAGCGGCGGATCATAATATTATAAACAAAATGGCGTCGTCGCGTTATTAGCAACATACGATTTCTGCATTATAAACAGATTTGTATAAATAAAACTTACCTAATATTTTGTGGCATACCCCTTTTATCTTATAATCCTGAACATTCGTTGTGGAAGAGATCTGTAAAGGTTCCGTATATAATGAATGGGGATGGTGGTCCATATTCACCGAATTTCTTGTTCTAGATCCGCTGCGTTGGTAATTCTGTTTGAACATTTTCTAAGCTGATTTTTCAACAAAAGCCAACAGTTTTCAATTATGTTAGCATCCGGAGATTGGGCAGGCCACAGCATTCCTCGAATATTATTTTCAGTTTTGTAATTTATAACAATCCTTCCGCGATGCACTGGCTCATTGTCGTCTTGAAAAATAAAGTCATTCTGTGGAAAATGCTGGGCAACAACTGGCCACAGTTCATTATCAATTATTTCCCTGTACTTTTCAGCATTGATATTGCCATTGACAACTGTCAGAGTACCTGGTCCATTCCAGCAGATACACCGCCAAATCATTAGACTAACCTTTGCACCACGAACGGGGCTAATGCATTGCGGCATCCACTCCTCTCCGGGTCTCCGCCAGACATATACGCGATTATTTTCTCCAATAATCAAGTTACATTCATCAGAAAAAATAACACTATTCCAGTCACCATCAATTTCCAATTCCTTTTCCCCCTAGCCCACTCGACTCGTTTCTTTATGTTCACATCTCGGATTCGCATGTTTTTTCTTACAACTCGTCTGTGGTATTTATTTCGGAACAAACATCTTTTTACAGTTACTTCTGAAACAATATTCCCCCGAAACTGGTTGGATCTGGCAGTGATATCTTTCAGAGGTTCTACACGATGTGTTTTTACTAACCTCAAAATTGACCGTTCGTCCTGAACATTAAGTTTTTTCTTTCTTCTCGTTCTAGTCTTATTCTCCACCGAACCCCGTTCCTGATATCGCTTTATCACAGCACAAACTGTACATTGGTTCAATTCTAGACACTTTTCAATTTCTGATTGTTTTATTCAACTCTGAAAACTATTTACTATCCTTTGTTTTAACCTTGGTGATAAATCTTTCGCCTTTCCCATTCTCTGTTTACATACAGAATGATGTACAGTCAATTCTCGAATTATCGCCATTCGATTCATCGCCATTTTTGCAATACCGCCATGATTTCCCAAGAACGTTTTTCCTGTTATATAACATTCTCTTTATAACGCCAAATTCGCATACCGCCATCCGCCACCCTGTTTTCACAACAAACGTCCATTTTTAAGTGTCAATTATCTCGATATACCGCCACAGGTGCATGTGGTCAGTGAGGCGCGGCTAATTGGTTGACGGGTCGGCTATCCCTGTTGTAAAGCATGCAAAGGCAGAAAAGGTACATGCAATTAAGTAATTAAACAAGAATTAAATAAACAATAATTTTAACATGAACTGTTATAACTCTGTTTTCTGTTTAATAAATATCATTTAATCACAGCTTCGCCATGAAAGTACGCCGATAACGATATTATTTTGATGATCTCTATTTTAAACAATGCAAAGTTTGCTGAAAATATAGTTATAGGGTAAAAATTGTGAACTTTTCATTAACAATGACGCCATAAATTTATTCAAGAATTCATTTTACGTTCTATCGGCAATATATCACGACGACGACCCAGCATGGTTTTTTTTTCAATACCAGACGTGCAGACTTACATGCATACACATGTACTTGTCTTTCATTTATAACTGCACTTTTTTTTTTGGCGAAATTGTACATAAAAAAAATTAACTTGAATTATTTTTAATCAGAAATATGTTTTTATGTATACATGTATACATGTAATAATAAGAATAGAAACGCTAAATGGTATTTCTAAGAACGGTAACTCTACTTCTTGTTTACTAAAATATGGGAAATTCGATTCATCGCCAAATTCGTTATACCGCCATGATTTCTAAATTACAAAAGGTGGCGGTTTATCGAGAATAAACTGTAATTTATTGCATCACAATCATGATACGTCATATCTTATTATAACATAATACGTCATTTAACCCAGTCATGTGCCTTTTTTATTTAAACATGCAAACTGAGAGGAGCTACATATAAATAAGAGTGAACGTTTCTTTACAACCGCAATTGGAACGCCATTTTGTTTATAATATTATGATCCGCCGCTGTATGTTATAAGAAGTTATTTTCATCAGTGTCTTTTGGGGCATGCATCACATGGGTTTGCTGCTGTTTCCGGCCATGTGTACAAAGACCTTTAATACATGCGGAAAGGGTAACTGAGAATGCTTTGAAGGATTGAAAATATTGAGAATATGTCATTTTCTTACTTAAGGTGACATTTTTGTATTTTTTATTAAACAACCCTCGTAATCAAAGGAACGTAGTGTTTAGAAATGATTTCTCAGAAAAATAAATTGAAGATCCATTCCTTCTCATACTTTGCATTCATAATAATTTACATGTATTTCAAATAATTACTTTATATATGATCTTAATGAGCAAGGCACTTAATCAATCGGTGCTGGTGTGACAAGTCTACTGTTCTCTAGAATCCATCACTCTTATAGCTAGTGAGCTCTTTCAACATTACAATAAGGTAACACCTTGTATGTATCTCCACCAATAAATAAAAACACAACAAAAGTAGATTTTTTAAGTTAATTGGAAAAAAATCAACAAATATTTACAATATTAAAAAAAGAACATTTATATATAATATGCCATTATAAAAATAATAAATAAAATAAATGGATAATGAAACGGGGAAAATGTAAGCAAAACGTAATCAAAACTATTTACAGTGATTCTATATGAACTATGAAAGTGTAGTACATGTACCACCTACCTGTGTGACAATCTGTAGAAAATATGATGGAAATACACCCACCTAAAACCACGTCGTTAGGTACGTCACACGTCATAGGTCAGGTGCTCATTCACACAGGTAACAATGGAGGCTTACAAGCTCAAGGCGCCGAACATCCGTACCAAACACTGCAACTCAGTCTCCATTGGTGAAAACTGAAAACAATATGCAATTAAGAAAAGTTGCGAGAATAACAGAAATATCAAGCAGAATACATTTTAAAAGTGGTTAATATTACAAAATACTAGTATACATACCAAAGCAGTCTTCTGTCTCTTCGAAAACATGAAAGGTTGGTCTGGTCTCTTGCGTTTGCGATTGGACTGCTTCTGAAATTTATCAACATAAAATGTATAATAAAAACTATCACAAAGACACGTATTATTCTCTGTTATTTACTTTATCTGTTTTTAATAACGACTATTTTCCAATACCTCAGCTTCTATCGACTGTGCCTCTGTGCAGATGCCCCCTTCTGCTTTGTCCTCCACCAATCTCTTACTCACCTTGTCATCTGTCACCTGAAAAAATAATTTTCTGACTTTTATTTTTTTTCTTTTCTCCTTTTAGGCACGTTTCAAAGAAACATAAAATAGCATCTCAATTGCTGACTCTCCATTACCTTGACTACACGTATCTCACAAACATTTTTAAAGGTTATTCTTACTGAGAATTTTTTAAACTTTGTTTATTGTAGTAAATGATACTACTTAGTGATACTTTTAATTACACCTACCCTGTCAGTGGCAGTTTCAGGCTCATCAGAGGAAGAGTCGACAGGGGTCTCAGCACGCGGAAAGGAACCGCCAATGAAGGGTTGTGTGGGTTCCACCTCAGCAGCCGGGGAGGGTTCCCATCAGACCCGGTGGTAACATCTGTCGGTTCCTCACGGAGCCCAGTGTCAACAGCGGGAGAGGATGGCTCAGTCTCCTGTAAAATAGGTAATAAAGTGTGATGTTCTGTGTGTGCTTACAAAAATGATACTTCATAGGCCATCTAACTTCAATAAAAGAGATGATAATGAACTATTTCTTTTCAAAACAAAGTAGATGTACAAAGCAAGTCAGTTGTTACCGTATATGTTTAGCATAAGGATTGTGGATAAGCTTACATCAACAGCAGCCTTGGCCTGTAGCTCTACTGACTGCTATTGTAAGAAAATAAAAAAGAAGGATTTAGATTGTTATAAATTTGGTAACATATGACCAGGGATATTTTCCTAACTTAAGCAGCCATTTTTTAAACTTTATAAACAAAGATCAAATAAAGAAATTAAAGACTGAATGAAAATCATATAACCCTCTTTCCAAAGAAGAATGAATCCCAATCCGAAATTTTAAAAGCAATGTGATATGGAAAAAATCTCTTTCATGATGACTTTGAGCGAAAAATATCAACATCTATTGAAATTTAAAAAAAACATATTTGTATTATATTTGGAATAATATCTAATGCAGTCCTAAGATTGTATCACACCGGTAATTGACCAATCAAAATGAACTTAGTCAAATGTAGGTCCATATATATAAAATTAATTTTCTTTTCTTTTGAGGCGTTTTTCTATTTTCTTCCAAGCCATTTTTACAACTTTGGTACCTGTGCCTAGTAAATTTTATGTACTTTGTGAATAAATAAAGGTTTTTGACAGGAACTATTTTTTTCAGGGCATAGGAGGCTACTTCCTGTGATGCACTCGAGGTGTTTATAAACAAAGTGAAAACACGTGGATTTGAGGGTAGCCCTGTTTGCAGATGGAAAAAGTCCGAAAATGCCGTGTGGGTACCCTGTTTTTTGGTGTCAGCTAATGTGACAGGTAATGTTTAACACCTCCTGCTAAATATTTTTTCATGTAAACAAATACCTGATTTTTAACGATTTTTTATTCTATATAGAATTATATAGTGAAAACAATTACCGGTGTGATACCTTGAAGGTGATTATGAAAAATCATTTAAATCCTTATTAAAGACATTTTTCATTTTTAAAAGGCATATTTCAACAGAATATGTGATTTTATTAACTTTTTGTTAGGAAACACACAATTTTAAAATTAGAATTAGAATTTACATTATTTTTCACAGATTTCTGTGTAAAAATTAACAATAGGTTATTTTTTACACTCAGTACTTTAAAATATGAGTAAAAAGGTAGCATTATGCATCTAAAATGTAGATAGAAGTCAGAGAATGTTGTTTTTTTCATTTTATATGACTTAACATTATTTGCACCAGCTGACCGCAGTCAATTTTAGTATCTACAGACTTTGCGGTAAAGGGTGTTAAAGCTGATTTTTCAAGAATAGACTAATTCTAGGTTTGCGAATGAATTTTCAGCACAAGCGACAACTGCGATAAAATGTAAACAAGTAAAATATGTTCTCACAGAATGATAATTTCTACAGACATATGATTTATTTTAATTTATTCACACCTCCATTGATACATATGTTACTGCATTGGAAGAATAGAAATAATGAAATGAGTCAGATCTGTCTAATAAACTTCAAACATAAGCTACATAAGTAAAATTCTTTAAGAATTTTTCACAGGAAGGAAGGTTATGACCAAAATATCCTTAAATACTGTCAGAGTCTGCATGATAATACTTATTCTGAGTTCTAATCATGCATCATACATGTAGTGCAGAATGTCACTTAGCACCATGGCATGCCTCTTGTGGTTCTCAGGACTTTATTCATGCTTTCGCAGCTGACATTCATGTTTTTTCAGTTTGTCGGAGACTGTTTTTTGTTATTTTTTCATTTATATGTAGGTGTTTACTGTCACTTTTGATTTAATTCTCATTCAGTGATGCTTATATGAGCATGATCTATTAAGGATATCATTGTACTGAAATATTAATAAATTGTAAATTTAACTGATGAAGAAATTTGGCATATTTACATAATTAAAATATCAGAATAACTATAATTCAGCTAATAAGGTGCACCTTTCTTCTCAGATCACCTCCTATAAATTTTATCAGCAGTTTTTGTACACCCACCCACCTCAAAGAATCATGGATGATGTCCTGAAACTGGTCTCTGTGATGCATTTTGTCACATATAAATGTGTTCAAACCCATAAAAATGTTTAATATTTATATTTTAAAATTTGAATTTTTATTTTTTATGTAAATTTGGTGAAACAAAAAGATGTAATCTTGCATAAATCATGGAAATTCATTAAACACCTTTGGAATTCCTGAGTAAATCCATGAAAAGAGAATAATTATGCATGTTAAATTGAAATTTCATGGCTACTTTGTGTCTTAAGAGAAAGCCAGTTACATAAATCACAACAATAAATTACATCTGAATTGTTGTCTCCATTTTCTTATCATCAAAGCCAGTTTATTGGAGTGTTGGAGCTGTCAAGAACCTCCCTAGATGCTGATATCATTTAGACTGACCTGAGTTACAACACAGCATTTAGATAAACTTCTGCACAGCATCTTGTAGACAAATACCTAGGCTTTATTTGGAACATAAATTGACCAGATACAGTTTTCATTATCAACCCAGTATTTAACAATTTCTGTATTTTTGTTCATTCTTTGAAGGGGAAAATGCAACTTTGTTATGTAATAATTACATAATGGTCTTAGACTTGTAACCTCTTTTTTGTTTGTTGTGAAGAACAAAGCATATACTCTCCACAGATAAAAAATTGGTTGCCAAGCTTATTCTTTTAATGATGAAATTCTGCTTCAAAAGATGCACAAAAAACTGCTTCCAGAGTGCTCTGTGTGTTATTCTTGACTGCTCTGGAGTAAGGGAGATAAATGCTTCATATCTTCAGAAATAAGGGGATTTAGATCACCAGACTTAAGGATGTTGGGGACAATTATTTAATGAATCTCAGGTGCCTCTCTTAGGAAAAAGCAGAAGGTATCACAAGTAATATGACCAATCATGACTTTGCTATTCTTAAGAAGAAGATTTTTAAAGAATTTTCCTAAATGAAATAGCCCTACCCCTGGGGGTCATTTAGATCAAAGATTCTTCAGAAATGTTGGGGACAATTGATTTAATGAACAAAAAATACAAAGATGCTTCATATAAATATGATCAAACTTTGTTATTCTTGAGGAAGAAGATTTTTATAGAATTTTCCTATATATTTCTATGTAAAGGCCCTTAATATCACACCTGGTAAAATGACCAATTTTCAATAATGAACTTAGCATTTTTGTAGGTACACACCTGAGGATATATATATGATCAATGAGGAGAAATTTTTTTTCCATTTTTAAAACTTTGGTCGGCCATTTTGGCCCTGGCGTCATTTTGAAAAAACCTACATCACTTTGTGAATGATAAAGGCTTCCATATAAATATATATTTTCTTGACAAGATTTTTAAAGAAATTTCCTATATATTTCTTTGTTTGCACTAGTAAATTTTATCATCTTTCCTGGCACACTTTGTGAATGCCATGGTTTTTACAACTTTGGTACCACGGCCAGACAGACAGAAACGGACGCCGGACAAAATTGATGCACTTGAGCCTCTTGAGCTAAAAATGAAAAAAAAATCGAACACCCTCAAAGGCTCAAGGTTTTGACCAATCAAAGTGAACTTAGTCAAATGTAGGTTCATATATATAAAATTAATTTTCTTTTGTTTTGAGGCGTTTTTATATTTTCTTAGCCTAGTAAAATTTATGTAATTTGTGAATAAATAATGGTTTTTGACAGGAACTATTTTTTTCAGGGCATAGGAGGCTACTTCCTGAGATGCACTCGAGGTGTTTATAAACAAAGTGAAAACACGTGGATTTGACGGTAGCCCTGTTTGCAGATGGAAAAAGTCCGAAAATGCCGTGTGGGTACCCTGTTTTTTGGTGTCAGCTAATGTGACAGGTAATGTTTAACACCTCCTGCTAAATATTTTTTCATGTAAACAAATACCTGATTTTTAACGATTTTTTATTCTATATAGAATTATATAGTGAAAATAATTACCGGTGTGATACCTTGAAGGTGATTATGAAAAATCATTTTAATCCTTATTAAAGACATTTTTCATTTTTAAAAGGCATATTTCAACAGAATATGTGATTTTATTAACTTTTTGTTAGGAAACACACAGTTTTAAAATTAGAATTAGAATTTACATAATTTTTCACAGATTTCTGTGTAAAAATTAACAATAGGTTATTTTTTACACTCACTACTTTAAAATATGAGTAAAAAGGTAGCATTATGCATCTAAAATGTAGAAAGAAGTCAGAGAATGTTGTTTTTTCATTTTATATGACTTAACATTATTTGCACCAGCTGACCGCAGTCAATCATAGTATCTAAAGAGTTTGCGGTAAAGGGTGTTAAAGCTGATTTTTCAAGAATAGACTAATTCTAGGTTTGCGAATGAATTTTCAGCACAAGCGACAACTGCGATAAAATGTAAACAAGTAAAATATGTTCTCACAGAATGATAATTTCTACAGACATATGATTTATTTTAATTTATTCACACCTCCACTGATACATATGTTACTGCATTGGAAGAATAGAAATAATGAAATGAGTCAGATCTGTCTAATAAACTTCAAACATAAGCTACATAAGTAAAATTCTTTAAGAATTTTTCACAGGAAGGAAGGTTATGACCAAAATATCCTCAAATACTGTCAGAATCTGCATGATAATACTTATTCTGAGTTCTAATCATGCATCATTCATGTAGTGCAGAATGTCACTTAGCACCATGGCATGCCTCTTGTGGTTCTCAGGACTTTATTCATGCTTTCGCAGCTGACATTCATGTTTTTTCAGTTTGTCGGAGACTGTTTTTTGTTATTTTTTCATTTTTGTGTAGGTGTTGACTGTCTTTTTTGATTTAAGTCTCAGTCAGTGATGCTTATATGAGCATGATCTATTAAAGATATCATTGTACTGAAATATTAATAAATTGTAAATTTAACTGATGAAGAAATTTGGCATATTTACATAATTAAAATATCAGAATAACTATAATTCAGCTAATAAGGTGCACCTTTCTTCTCAGATCACCTCCTATAAATTTTATCAGCAGTTTTTGTACACCCACCCACCTCAAAGAATCATGGATGATGTCCTGAAACTGGTCTCTGTGATGCATTTTGTCACATATAAATGTGTTCAAACCCATAAAAATGTTTAATATTTATATTTTAAAATTTGAATTTTTATTTTTTATGTAAATTTGGTGAAACAAAAAGATGTAATCTTGCATAAATCATGGAAATTCATTAAACACCTTTGGAATTCCTGAGTAAATCCATGAAAAGAGAATAATTATGCATGTTAAATTGAAATTTCATGGCTACTTTGTGTCTTAAGAGAAAGCCAGTTACATAAATCACAACAATAAATTACATCTGATTTGTTGTCTCCATTTTCTTATCATCAAAGCCAGTTTATTGGAGTGTTGGAGCTGTCAAGAACCTCCCTAGATGCTGATATCATTTAGACTGACCTGAGTTACAACACAGCATTTAGATAAACTTCTGCACAGCATCTTGTAGACAAATACCTAGGCTTTATTTGGAACATAAATTGACCAGATACAGTTTTCATTATCAACCCAGTATTTAACAATTTCTGTATTTTTGTTCATTCTTTGAAGGGGAAAATGCAACTTTGTTATGTAATAATTACATAATGGTCTTAGACTTGTAACCTCTTTTTTGTTTGTTGTGAAGAACAAAGCATATACTCTCCACAGATAAAAAATTGGTTGCCAAGCTTATTCTTTTAATGCACAAAAAACTGCTTGAAATTCTGCTTCATATCTTCAGAAAAAGATGCACCAGACTTAAAACAATTGTTTAATGCTTCCAGGGTGCTCTGTATTGTTCCAAAAGATATGCAATCTGACTTTGCTATTCTTAGAAGAAGCTTTTTTAAAGGTAAAAGATAAATGCTTCATATCTTCAGAAATAGGGGATTTAGATCACCAGACTTAAGGATGTTGGGGACAAATTATCTTGAGGAAGAAATGAATCCTCAGGTGCAAAAATTTGAACAAAAAACACTACCTGAGGATGCTTCTATATAAATATGATCAATTATGGCTTTGCTGATTTTTAAAGAATTTTCCTATATATTTCTATGTAAAACTTTAAAGAAATTTGGCCATTTATGCCCCACCCTAACCCTGGGTGTCATGATTTGAACAAAAATTTACAAACACCTTTGTTGTTCTTGACAGAAGATTTTTAAAGAAATTTCCTATATATTTCTATGTAAAAGGCCCTTCAAGGTATCACACCTGAGGTAATCCATATAAATATGATCAAACCAATCAAAATGAAACTTAGTCAAATGTAGGTCCATATATATAAAATTAATTTTTTGCCACCAAATTTTCAACAATTCTTTGAGGGTTTTTGGTTGCCAAGCGGTTCCTTTAAGAAGAAGTCGAAAATGTGAAAAGTTTTTTTTCTTGACAAGCCATTTTTGAAAAAAAAATCGAACAACTTTGGTACCTGTGCCTAGTAAATTTTATGTACTTTGTGAATAAATAAAGGTTTTTGACAGGAACTATTTTTTTCAGGGCATAGGAGGCTACTTCCTGTGATGCACTCGAGGTGTTTATAAACAAAGTGAAAACACGTGGATTTGAGGGTAGCCCTGTTTGCAGATGGAAAAAGTCCGAAAATGCCGTGTGGGTACCCTGTTTTTTGGTGTCAGCTAATGTGACAGGTAATGCTTAACACCTCCTGCTAAATATTTTTTCATGTAAACAAATACCTGATTTTTAATGATTTTTTATTCTATATAGAATTATATAGTGAAAATAATTACCGGTGTGATACCTTGAAGGTGATTATGAAAAATCATTTTAATCCTTATTAAAGATATTTTTCATTTTTAAAAGGCATATTTCAACAGAATATGTGATTTTATTAACTTTTTGTTAGGAAACACACAATTTTAAAATTAGAATTAGAATTTACATTATTTTTCACAGATTTCTGTGTAAAAATTAACAATAGGTTATTTTTTACACTCACTACTTTAAAATATGAGTAAAAAGGTAGCATTATGCATCTAAAATGTAGAAAGAAGTCAGAGAATGTTGTTTTTTCATTTTATATGACTTAACATTATTTGCACCAGCTGACCGCAATCAATTATAGTATCTAAAGACTTTGCGGTAAAGGGTGTTAAAGCTGATTTTTCAAGAATAGACTAATTCTAGGTTTGCGAATGAATTTTCAGCACAAGCGACAACTGCGATAAAATGTAAACAAGTAAAATATGTTCTCACAGAATGATAATTTCTACAGACATATGATTTATTTTAATTTATTCACACCTCCATTGATACATATGTTACTGCATTGGAAGAATAGAAATAATGAAATGAGTCAGATCTGTCTAATAAACTTCAAACATAAGCTACATAAGTAAAATTCTTTAAGAATTTTTCACAGGAAGGAAGGTTATGACCAAAATATCCTCAAATACTGTCAGAATCTGCATGATAATACTTATTCTGAGTTCTAATCATGCATCATTCATGTAGTGCAGAATGTCACTTAGCACCATGGCATGCCTCTTGTGGTTCTCAGGACTTTATTCATGCTTTCGCAGCTGACATTCATGTTTTTTCAGTTTGTCGGAGACTGTTTTTTGTTATTTTTTCATTTTTGTGTAGGTGTTGACTGTCTTTTTTGATTTAAGTCTCAGTCAGTGATGCTTATATGAGCATGATCTATTAAAGATATCATTGTACTGAAATATTAATAAATTGTAAATTTAACTGATGAAGAAATTTGGCATATTTACATAATTAAAATATCAGAATAACTATAATTCAGCTAATAAGGTGCACCTTTCTTCTCAGATCACCTCCTATAAATTTTATCAGCAGTTTTTGTACACCCACCCACCTCAAAGAATCATGGATGATGTCCTGAAACTGGTCTCTGTGATGCATTTTGTCACATATAAATGTGTTCAAACCCATAAAAATGTTTAATATTTATATTTTAAAATTTGAATTTTTATTTTTTATGTAAATTTGGTGAAAGAAAAAGATGTAATCTTGCATAAATCATGGAAATTCATTAAACACCTTTGGAATTCCTGAGTAAATCCATGAAAAGAGAATAATTATGCATGTTAAATTGAAATTTCATGGCTACTTTGTGTCTTAAGAGAAAGCCAGTTACATAAATCACAACAATAAATTACATCTGAATTGTTGTCTCCATTTTCTTATCATCAAAGCCAGTTTATTGGAGTGTTGGAGCTGTCAAGAACCTCCCTAGATGCTGATATCATTTAGACTGACCTGAGTTACAACACAGCATTTAGATAAACTTCTGCACAGCATCTTGTAGACAAATACCTAGGCTTTATTTGGAACATAAATTGACCAGATACAGTTTTCATTATCAACCCAGTATTTAACAATTTCTGTATTTTTGTTCATTCTTTGAAGGGGAAAATGCAACTTTGTTATGTAATAATTACATAATGGTCTTAGACTTGTAACCTCTTTTTTGTTTGTTGTGAAGAACAAAGCATATACTCTCCACAGATAAAAAATTGGTTGCCAAGCTTATTCTTTTAATGATGAAATTCTGCTTCAAAAGATGCACAAAAAACTGCTTCCAGAGTGCTTTGTGTGTTATTCTTGACTGCTCTGGAGTAAGGGAGATAATGCTTCATATCTTCAGAAATAAGGGGATTTAGATCACCAGACTTAAAGATGTTGGGGACAATTGTTTAATGAATCTAAGGTGCTCACCTGAGCACTGTGGTTAGGAAAAAGCAGAATTGGTTTATACTTGAAAAGCTTAAATCCAAAAGTAGAATGACCAATCATGACTTTGCTATTCTTAAGAAGTAGATTTTTAAAGAATTTTCCTATACATTTCTATGTAAAACTGCCATTTTGGCCCCGCCCTACCCCTGGGGGTCATTTTTCGAACAAACTTGAATCTACACTACCTGAGGATGCTTCCATATAAATATGTATGGCTTTGTTATTCTTGAGAAGAAGATTTTTATAGAATTTTCCTATACATTTCTATGTAAATCTTTGGTCGGCCATTTTGGCCCCGCCCTACCCCTGGGGGTCATGATTCGAACAAACTTGAGTCGACACTACCTGAAGATGCTTCCATATAAATATGATCAATTATGGCTTTGTTATTCTTGAGGAAAAATTTTCCTATATATTTCTATGTAAATCTTTGGTCGGCCATTTTGGCCCCGCCCTAACTGGAGGTCATGATTTGAACAAACTTGAATCTACACTACCTGAGGATGCTTCTATATAAATATGATCAATTATGGCTTTGCTGATTTTTAAAGAATTTTCCTATATATTTCTATGTAAAAGGCCATTTTGGCCCCACCCTAACCCTGGGTGTCATGATTTGAACAAACTTGAATCTACACTACTGAGGATGCTTCTATATAAATATGATCAATTATGGCTTTGTTGTTCTTGAGGAGAAGATTTTTAAAGAAATTTCCTATATATTTCTATGTAAAACTTTGGTCGGCCATTTTGGCCCCGCCCTACCCCTGGGGGTCATGATTTGAAAAAACTTGAATCTACATCACCTGAGGATGCTTCCATATAAATATGATCAAATATGGCTTTGCTATTCTTGAGAAGAAGATTTTTAAAGAAATTTCCTATATATTTCTATGTAAAACTTTGGTCGGCCAGCCCCGCCCTACCCATATATATACAAATTTGAATTACACTACCTGTTTCCCCATAAGTTTCATCTTTCCTGGCACAGTGGTTCTTGAGAAGCGTTTTAAAACTACCAAATTTTCATTAATTCCCAATGTTCTCCCCTTGAATGATTTTGAACACAATCCCCTTCGCCCAAGGATACTTTGTGGCAAGTTTGGTGAAATTGGCCCGGCGGTTCTTGAGAAGAAGTCGAAAATGTGAAAAGTTTACAGACAGACGGACAGACAGACGGACAGACAGACAGACAGACAGACGGACGCCGGACAAAATGTGATCAGAAAAGCTCACTTGAGCCTTCGGCTCAGGTGAGCTAAAAATGAAAAAAAAATCGAACACCCTCAAAGGTCCTTCAAGGTATCACACCGGTAATTGACCAATCAAAGTGAACTTAGTCAAATGTAGGTTCATATATATAAAATTAATTTTCTTTTGTTTTGAGGCGTTTTTCTATTTTCTTAGCCTAGTAAATTTTATGTACTTTGTGAATAAAGAAAGGTTTTTGACAGGAACTATTTTTTTCAGGGCATAGGAGGCTACTTCCTGTGATGCACTCGAGGTGTTTATAAACAAAGTGAAAACACGTGGATTTGAGGGTAGCCCTGTTTGCAGATGGAAAAAGTCCGAAAATGCCGTGTGGGTACCCTGTTTTTTGGTGTCAGCTAATGTGACAGGTAATGTTTAACATCTCCTGCTAAATATTTTTTCATGTAAACTAATTCCTGATTTTTAACGATTTTTTATTCTATATAGAATTATATAGTGAAAACAATTACCGGTGTGATACCTTGAAGGTGATTATGAAAAATCATTTAAACCCTTATTAAAGACATTTTTCATTTTTAAAAGGCATATTTCAACAGAATATGTGATTTTATTAACTTTTTGTTAGGAAACACACAATTTTAAAATTAGAATTAGAATTTACATTATTTTTCACAGATTTCTGTGTAAAAATTAACAATAGGTTATTTTTTACACTCACTACTTTAAAATATGAGTAAAAAGGTAGCATTATGCATCTAAAATGTAGAAAGAAGTCAGAGAATGTTGTTTTTTCATTTTATATGACTTAACATTATTTGCATCAGCTGACCGCAGTCAATTATAGTATCTACAGACTTTGCGGTAAAGGGTGTTAAAGCTGATTTTTCAAGAATAGACTAATTCTAGGTTTGCGAATGAATTTTCAGCACAAGCGACAACTGCGATAAAATGTAAACAAGTAAAATATGTTCTCACAGAATGATAATTTCTACAGATATATGATTTATTTTAATTTATTCACACCTCCATTGATACATATGTTACTGCATTGGAAGAATAGAAATAATGAAATGAGTCAGATCTGTCTAATAAACTTCAAACATAAGCTACATAAGTAAAATTCTTTAAGAATTTTTCACAGGAAGGAAGGTTATGACCAAAATATCCTTAAATACTGTCAGAGTCTGCATGATAATACTTATTCTGAGTTCTAATCATGCATCATACATGTAGTGCAGAATGTCACTTAGCACCATGGCATGCCTCTTGTGGTTCTCAGGACTTTATTCATGCTTTTGCAGCTGACATTCATGTTTTTTCAGTTTGTCGGAGACTGTTTTTTGTTATTTTTTCATTTATATGTAGGTGTTGACTGTCACTTTTGATTTAAGTCTCAGTCAGTGATGCTTATATGAGCATGATCTATTAAGGATATCATTGTACTGAAATATTAATAAATTGTAAATTTAACTGATGAAGAAATTTGGCATATTTACAGAGTTAAAATATCAGAATAACTATAATTCAGCTAATAAGGTGCACCTTTCTTCTCAGGTCACCTCCTATAAATTTTATCAGCAGTTTTTGTACACCCACCCACCTCAAAGAATCATGGAGGATGTCCTGAAACTGGTCTCTGTGATGCATTTTGTTACATATAAATGTGTTCAAACCCATAAAAATGTTTAATATTTATATTTTAAAATTTGAATTTTTATTTTTTATGTAAATTTGGTGAAACAAAAGATGTAATCTTGCATAAATCATGGAAATTCATTAAACACCTTTGGAATTCCTGAGTAAATCCATGAAAAGAGAATAATTATGCATGTTAAATTGAAATTTCATGGCTACTTTGTGTCTTAAGAGAAAGCCAGTTACATAAATCACAACAATAAATTACATCTGAATTGTTGTCTCCATTTTCTAATCATCAAAGCCAGTTTATTGGAGTGTGGGAGCTGTCAAGAACCTCCCTAGATGCTGATATCATTAAGACTGCCCTGAGTTACAACACAGCATTTAGATAAACTTCTTCACAGCATCTTGTAGACAAATACCTAGGCTTTATTTGGAACATAAATTGACCAGATACAGTTTTCATTATCAACCCAGTATTTAACAATTTCTGTATTTTTGTTCATTCTTTGAAGGGGAAAATGCAACTTTGTTATGTAATAATTACATAATGGTCTTAGACTTGTAACCTCTTTTTTTGTTTGTTGTGAAGAACAAAGCATATACTCTCCACAGATAAAAAATTGGTTGCCAAGCTTATTCTTTTAAGGATGAAATTCTGCTTCAAAAGATGCACAAAAAACTGCTTCCAGAGTGCTCTGTGTGTTATTCTTGACTGCTCTGGAGTAAGGGAGATAAATGCTTCATATCTTCAGAAATAAAGGGATTTAGATCACCAGACTTAAGGATGTTGGGGACAATTGTTTAATGAATCTAAGGTGCAACAAAAGGCCCATGGGCCACATCGCTCACCTGAGCACTGTGGTTAGGAAAAAGCAGAATTGGTTTATACTTGAAAAGCTTAAATCCAAAAGTAGTCCTATGACCAATCATGACTTTGCTATTCTTAAGAAGAAGATTTTTAAAGAATTTTCCTATACATTTCTATGTAAAACTTTGGTCGGCCATTTTGGCCCCGCCCTACCCCTGGGGGTCATGATTCGAACAAACTTGAATCTACACTACCTGAGGATGCTTCCATATAAATATGATCAATTATGGCTTTGTTATTCTTGAGAAGAAGATTTTTATAGAATTTTCCTATACATTTCTATGTAAATCTTTGGTCGGCCATTTTGGCCCCGCCCTACCCCTGGGGGTCATGATTCGAACAAACTTGAGTCTACACTACCTGAAGATGCTTCCATATAAATATGATCAATTATGGCTTTGTTATTCTTGAGAAGAAGATTTTTATAGAATTTTCCTATATATTTCTATGTAAATCTTTGGTCGGCCATTTTGGCCCCGCCCTACCCCTGGAGGTCATGATTTGAACAAACTTGAATCTACACTACCTGAGGATGCTTCTATATAAATATGATCAATTATGGCTTTGCTGATTTTTAAAGAATTTTCCTATATATTTCTATGTAAAACTTTGGTCGGCCATTTTGGCCCCACCCTAACCCTGGGGGTCATGATTTGAACAAACTTGAATCTACACTACCTGAGGATGCTTCTATATAAATATGATCAATTATGGCTTTGTTGTTCTTGAGGAGAAGATTTTTAAAGAAATTTCCTATATATTTCTATGTAAAACTTTGGTCGGCCATTTTGGCCCCGCCCTACCCCTGGGGGTCATGATTTGAAAAAAATTGAATCTACATCACCTGAGGATGCTTCCATATAAATATGATCAAATATGGCTTTGCTATTCTTGAGGAGAAGATTTTTAAAGAAATTTCCTATATATTTCTATGTAAAACTTTGGTCGGCCATGTTGGCCCCGCCCTACCCCTGGGGGTCATGATTTGAACAAATTTGAATCTACACTACCTGAGGATGTTTCCCCATAAGTTTCATCTTTCCTGGCACAGTGGTTCTTGAGAAGAAGATTTTTAAAACATGCCACCAAATTTTCATTAATTCCCAATTATCTCCCCTTGAATGAGGG